TTTGTTTTCTCTGCCAAAGAGTGCTGGTTCCTCACAAGACTGCAAACCCCAGGATTCTGCCATATGGAGCCATAGTAGTTAAAGTGGTGTCAAAACTGCCTTATTTCTACATAGGTAGTTGCACTCCTACTCTGACATTCAAACTACTTCATTACACTACCTGTCCTACAGTTTTCTTGGCCAGATCTTCAGGGGAGGTTTGCCATTGTCCTCCTCTGAGGTTGAGAAAGTGGGACTTGCTTAAGGTCACCCAGGGGGTTTTCATGGCTGAGAGGAGATTCGAACTCTGGTCTCTAGGAATCCTAGTCCGACACGCAAACCACTACACCACACTGGCTCTTTCAGTGGTAGGGAGGATGATGCGCCTTCTCCTGCCCATCCTCTTGCCTTTCCCCAGTCCTAGGACTCAAGGCGGATTCCAAAATAATGCAAAAATTGCACCCAACTACTTCCAATTCCTTTGAACTGAAGCAGGTAACAGTTCCTTTCTGCAATCTAAAGTTTGGGCAATGTTCCTTTTTGTTTTGGAGAGGTGGGAACAGCCTAGTGGTTTGAGCGTTGGACTACAGCTCTGGAGACCAGGGTTAGATTCTCCACTCAGCCATGGAAGTGGCACTAGGCGACCTTGAGCAAGTCACACACTCTCAGCCTCAGGGGAAGGCAATGGCAAACCTCTGAGCAAACCTTGTCAAGAAAACTCTAGGATAGGGATGTCATTAGTCCATATAAAAGGTGGAGAACCTATGGGAGTTGGGATTGGGCCCATCATTCACAGTTTGTTGTTGTATTCAAAGATATAGCTGTGTTAGTCTGTAGAATCAGTATGTAGACAGGGGTAGGCAACCTAAGGCCCAGGGGCCGGATGCGGCCCCCTGAGGTCTTTGGACCGCCCCCAGGCCGTCCTGCCGCCGCTGCCACCGCCCGCCATGATGATATTGATTATTGTTGTTATTACTTGTTCTTGGAGTTTTCTTGGCAAAATCTCCACAGGGTTTTTGCCATGGCTTTTCTGGGGCTGAGAGAGTGTGCATGCATATTTTAAATTTTTTTAATTGTTTATTTTTATATTTATTTATGTATTTATTTATTGTGCTTTGGCCCCCCAATTGCCCGAGGGACAGTAACCTGGCCCCCGGCTCAAAAAGGTTGCCTACCCCAGATGTAGAGAGATCTTGTAGCACCTTTGAGATGCGGTCTACTTCCTCCACCAAATGCATCTGAGGAAGTAGACTGAAGTCTAGGAAAGCTTGGGCTGCCGACTTTTCTTTCAGTTTGTCTCCAAGGTGCTACCGGATCTCTCAGCGTATGCAATGGATTGTTAAGAGTTTTTTGTGGGTTTTTTGGGCTGTGTGGCCATGTTCTAGAA